GACGACCACAGCGGGCTGGCACCATGCAGAAGGAAGGAAGGGGTCACGAAGGCTGTGAAAAGGTGAAACCAACTGTTGGTCAACAAAGGAAGCAGAGAGAGCAATGTCAGACCTCCATTACATATTCCAGCTTCATATGTCACACTTGCGGAAGAGAATGTCTGTTAAGTCACTCCAAACTGTTCGCAAATGGACAATGTTTGACCAAAAGAGGTCGCTGCCGTTATCTCGCGAGATAATTGGATGTATACATGTTAATTAGCATTAGTGTGTTTCATGTAACTTAAAATTTTATATATTTTTGTAAAAAGAAATTTTATTTAGAATTCACACTTTTTATTTATGTTTAAACTCCTCTGTCCACTCATCGTAAGTATTTATAATCGAGGCATCACACTCATGAACACTGTATATGTTGAGACGGTTTCAAATGATGTAATATTGGCAAATCTAAACCAAATGGACTTTCAAAGAGAAATTTGTATCTAATAGCTGTATTTAATATTTCTAGAAACTAAAGGTTAATTGTATTTACTGTTATATTGACGAGGTAGCTCCATGATGTTATGGGAAGCTGAATATATAAATATGTCGATATAAAATCTTTTAGACTTCGAGACAAAATAAATGAATCAAAGGCAACAAAACAATTTTTTATTCGAAATATGATTATTAATTTTGTTTATTTTTTTAAAATTATAATCTATTTTTTTTTATATGGAAAATCTTAAAATTGAAAATTACTCACCGGAATATAAAGAAACATTTAGAAGATACGCATAAAAATTTCCCCTCTTTCTCTCCCTCTCACTACTAATTATATATATATATATATATATATATATATTATATATATATAGTGTGTGTACACTTCTATACAAATTTCTTTATTCTTCTTTTTCTTTCCATCTTATCACTTTGTGCGTGTGTATATAATGTTCATAGATACATTAACATGTGTGTAGCCCAATGTCGAAAAAAGCATTTGTTTATTTTTCAGCATAATCTCCTTCCCTCTCAATACACTTAACCCAATGCTTTTCCATTAGTCACAACGATCGAACATTATACAGTGAATATTTCAGATCAAAATTCAGCTAATAACTGTTTCCTGTTACAGACTCATTGATCCACCCCGTGTGCGTGCATCTGTACAGACACACGCATATATATATATATATATATATTGTGTGGGTGTGTGCATGCGCGCAACTATTTATCTTCCCTATAGGAATTTCGAGGATATTAACCGTCGAAGATAGTTGGCTGATTTGTCATTGATTTTTATCCATTTTGCAGTGATTCAAGGTTAAATCTGCACCCTAGTTTTTCTTTCTCGTATGCATTATGAGTCATGGCGTGTAAACAATAAAACAAGACATCGCCAAAGAATGTCTAATAATTCCTTGTTTTCCAGTTTGTAGGTCGCGTTGACACTACAATAAACATACATAAAAATCTGAGTTTCTCTAAACTTTGTTTTTCATTGTTTTTGTCCCCCCTCCCCTTTAAGTGTAATATATTGATTGTCCATTGAATAAGAAACATGCAAGCGCAGAGCAATTTTGGAGAAACATATTTTCGGGTAGAGTCTAATGATAAACCCAAAGACCTGCTGAAACGCTGTCTTAGGTTCTAAGTTTGGCGTCAGTTTTCTTTTTTAAACAATAAAATTACTGATACACATGGGGATATAATAACAGTTCGAGGGTTTGCTTGTCATAAAGCAAATAGGATTCTTCCTGTCTCGTGAGAAAGACCCGGCATCGAAACCTCTGTATTAACAATAATACAGTTACACATTTTTTTAAAATTATATAAACATATTCAATTTCTTATGCCTAACTTCAACTGAAAGATTAGGGATAATTTTGTTGATATGAGTATCGAAATTTGCCATCGAAATAATCAAATGCATTCTTTCTTGGCTCTGAAAGAGATTTTACCGCCTGCCATAAAGTCGATGACAAACTGAAATGACATTAGGGAATTTGAGGTATTTCAGCCGTATACCATTATGGAAATTATAGAGAAAAAGGATCATTTTCCATTCTTTTCAAATGTTTTAATAAAAATGGAACGTTCAGCATGCATATTAGAGAAGGCAAATCCAAAACAAGAACTATTTTTAGACCTGCGCAATAATTATTCATGTGACAAGTTCAAACAAACGTAAACTATAAAAAATCCAGAAACGAAAAGACAATAGGCACAGCTCAGAGGAAGATTAGGTTGAATTTATTTCCTAAGTATCCAGGCATACTTGGTTCAAGTCTACAGAGTTCGGATTATTCTGACCTCACCGACAGCACTTATTTCTATTCAATAGGATATGCAACATTAAAAAAAACTGTGCTAAGATTTAAAGCGATTTTTTTTTTTATCTTCACTTACAGAAAAAAAACGTTGAGAATCTCAAATGAGATGCGATTAGCTACAATTTCCTTCAATTTGTATTCGGAGTAAAATTACACAACACTGAATTTTTCACTTTGCTTGCGAAAAGAAGCGAGGGAATCAGACCCATTTCTATTCGTTATATAGAGAACACACATAACTTACTTAAAGAAGCTTCTTTTCTTTCAAAAAGTAACTGAAATACGAACAAATTTTGTAGAAATCATTCGCCATGAAATCACAAATCAACAAGATTCATGAAATTTGTGGTACTCTAGGTATAATTAACCGTTGGTACTTCGATGTGGTGCAATGGCAACAAGATTGTCTCTCTAGATCAATTATGACTGAATAATGAGCTCGTTCTTCACTGGGTGCCCCGTACTTTCGGCCTTGTGCCACATCTAAAACTTACTGGAAACTGGATGAGCAATAACTGAGAAGTACTAAATAAGAATAAGACGAGCTGGATGACCAGACACCTTAAGAAGGCCGGAGGGCACAACGACCGAAATGGGATTATAAAAGTAAAGGTGAGAACATTAGTTTGAATGGAAATAATATAAATAAAGTTTATGTTCACTATAACCCTCCCACATGCAAAGAGGTGGCTACCGTAGAGCTATAGTTAGCAAACTAGTATCGTAGAATATTGTTCATGTAGAAATTTGAGTCCTCAAATTAAGTTATGGGTACCTATCAGAATAATGGTTATTAACTAGGCGCAGTTTAGTCTTGATGTTCCAGTTGCGGAAAGTGGAATCGGCGAGCCGAATTTAAATTTTGTACTAATGCCTTTGGGAAAGATACGAATCGATGTCTCTTCTCCCAGCTTTGAATAAAATAGAAGAATAGACAGGGCGCTCTAACTTTGTATAGCAGCTTGTCTAAGAGGACAAATCCGAATTCAAGACCATCACCAGGAAACAAGGGCATTACCTTACCCAAGAATTCTTAGCAATTCGCTGATATTAAAGCAAAAGAAGCTTTAACGACCAACTTTATAAAGAGATATAGCATGAAAAAAAAAAGTAGTCCATTACACGCCGCAATAGTGTTACTACGTTACTAGCAAACTTCACCGCACTGACAATTATGTCATGATATGGGGACTCAAAGGTATTTACTAAACAAAATTTAGTCTGACATAAAGCCGCAAATGTGAGGACTTCTTGTGAGAGTTGAAATCACTAGACAGTGGTAATGGTGGGCTCGACAAGCTCGCTAATCCTTACTTCACATTGGTCATATATTAATGTTATCTTCACTTTTCATTGGAAGCGTTACTACGGTCGCCATATTGTTAGTTACCAAATCAAATACATTATTTTTTGTCTCAGTTGTTTCTTGCTTACTGAGTGGATGGATTCTATTTCAGCTTTAGATACGAAATCATGTTAACGGGAGACTATATTAAAAAATATTCTCGGCGGCAATAAGTTACAAAGTTTTTGTTTAATTTGTCCATTGAACTCAAAGGCAAAATTATATTTGAAACATTAAATCAAAGAAAAGCCAGACTTGGTGGTTGTGAGTAAAGCGATTCATTGTAATACGCTCGTCCTACAATACAAAGCAACAAAGATCATGCTATAGGAGTAAAAGCGCGTGTCTTTGAGTTTTTGTTTAAAGTAAGTGCGGGTAGCGTTACGGTTTTCCGTGTAGACAGTGGAATAGGCGGGCTGGGTTCAAACTCTGACCTAGTCTTTTGCGCTCACGTTCACACATACTTTTGGGAACGGTATGAATTCAACTTTTTCTCCTGTTATTGGTTAAATAGCTTGATAGACTGGTGTTTTTATTCTTGGATGGCAACCAGCCTAGAAGAAGGATTACTTTTAATTCAAAACCGTAGAGAAGGCAACAGGAAATCACTCTATTGTTTTGCCAAGAAGTCATGACTTTTTACAGATATTAAAAATGAATCTGCAGAGAGCTATGATCGGCAATGTACTAATGTCACATGACATTCGAAAATTATATTATACTATGTATAATATATTTCTGTTCATATCAAATGGTATATTAATAAATAGTACATTTATGTTCAAGGACAGTTTAGATGAGGATGGGGAATAATCTAATAGTCACACTATTTCTGATATCTTCAGAAATGTTTGAGAACCTGCATGTGCATTTGTCTGTTGTGCAAGCGTCCTATTTTGGGAACCAGCAGTAGTTAACCATAATGTCTAGATTGAACCGTTTTTGAAACCTCGATTTATTTTTTATCTCACATTCCAATGGAACATGTTAAAGCTTACACTTGACCCAGATCTGTTGGTGAGGAAAAAAAAAAAAAACGAAATAAGAATTCAAGAAGTGCGTTTTAAAAGACGTCCGGTATGTTCTTCACTAAAACTTTCACAGCTGTATTAAGTCTCTACTGCAGAGTATGCGATCGAAATGAAAATGATGGCACTCATTAGAAATCGTTATTTTCTGACTGATGGCTCGTTTTGATAATAAAAAAAAGAAAATTGCTATCTACCGAAAATAAATGACTATGAAGACGATTTCTAATGAGCACCGTCATTTTGATTTTGATCGCATACCCTGCAGTAGACTACGCTAAACAATTCAAGCACAGAATATATAGGAGCTTACGGCCATATCACATTGAAAACCGGTTCTCGTACAATAACCAAAGTTAAGCATCGCCGAGCCTGGTTAGTACCTTGATGAGTGACTACTTTAGAACATCAGGTGCTGTAAGGTTCGATGTGCGGGTGGTGAAATGGATAACGGCTCCGAATTGGAAATTGAAAAGCCAAGTTCTAATTCCAGTCGGATTCCTTATATTTACTTACACGCAAATACCCTTACGAAAAGAATGGATCAACTCTTCTCTCCCAGGTATGGAGTTAAATAGTAGAACTTGCATCAGTAAATAATTGTCTCTAAAAACTTCTTACAATCTAAAAATATTTTCTGGCTTTAAATAAATTGCTAATGGTTAAGTCATGAAAAATAAATCAATCAATTTTCAAGCCACTCAGAAAGTCATTGCGGTGTGAAACATAAAAACATAACATTAATAAAAAATAATAATATCATTAAAAGTACTTATGCAACAAAAATTTAGTTGCTACATCAGTTTTTCGGAATTATTTTTTGAAATTGTCTAAAGATTTTATAGACGACCTGTATAATAAAAATACGTCTCAAAGCAGGTCACATTGTTTGGTACATTGTCTACGTTTGCTTGGAAATAGCACTAAGTATTAGATAGTTTATAACACAAATAGTAAAGATATATTTCGATGTGTCAATCGGTAATGTAAATTCAATAAAGACGTACAAGTACGTCCACAGCAGTGAAAATGTTAGCATAATTTTTAGCTCCATGTGATCCAAGATCAGTAGCAAGAATGAATGACATTCTGCAGGCTCAAGTGTATACTAATTTTCTATTTATATAATATTGACTTAAACATGAATATGTAATGCGCATATCTGAAAAGTATGGCATTCTCGAATAATTCTGAATATAAATACGTAATCAACGTAGCAAGTGATGAACTGTTATATGGTATCAATCCTCTTGCATGGCAGTGAATGCTCGACAATCTTACCACTGGAGGCAACAGAAATGTATTTCTAGAGAAGTATGCTGAAAATATGAACCCGGCGTGTAGACAAGGAAGTTTTAAAGAAAATGATAGCCAAAGAATTTATACTCAGAATCAGAAAAGACGACTGAAATTTCTTGGACACATAATGAGGAAGGAGTGCTTGGAAGACTTGACCCTGGAAGGGCAAAACTAGAGGGAGGCAGCGGACCACCTAACTGACTAGGTCGGGTGGCTTGTCAAAGGGAGAAAAGCTGCTAATAGATAGGAAGTTGTGGAGAGCCATAATCACCCATGTCCTGAAGGGACACGACATACAGAAGCATTAGCGGACTTAATTTATTTTAGTACAATATCATTCATCTGGGAAGTTTTTTTTTTTTTTTTTTTTGTTTTTTTTTCAAAGTGTAATTCTTTGAGATCAGCCAAGTGACTCAACATATAATAGCTATTATGATTCCATCCAGTTCAACCGGTCGTCAGTAAAACTTGGCGTTGTCGGTGCAGAAAACCGAAGAGATTTCCTTCAATATATTCATGTCTTTCTGCGTTTAAGCTCTCTAGCGCAAAAAGCAAGTAGCTGATGAATTTTTTTTAAAAATCACTAAAATATCAACTGTTTCAAGCATTACAGAAGTTAGCTGCATTTGCCTATCTCTACGATTAAATGTTTAATTTCTAATGCTTCTCTTGACAAAAAATATTGAAAGGTCAGAGAGTTGTCAGATAATGGATCTCTTTGTCATAACTAATGGTGAGATCAAATTGAAAATCGAACCAGTTACAATAATATATAAGATTTTTTTTTTAAAATCTAAAACTATTAAGGTTTTAAGCCTTTTCCCTCGGAAGAGAAAATATAGTGTCAATCCTTTTATAAGTCTTTTTAGGCATATTCTTTTTTTCTGTGAGTCGAGATCTTACCCAAAGAAAATCGCATTAAAGTTTGTCCTTCCTTGCAATTTTTGCCCTTCTCACAATTGATTCCTGGGGTTTCTTGAAAATCCATTATAAAATGTTCTTTTTCGTAGAGAAAAAAAAAAATTTTAATAAAAAAATTCCTACTGGTATCCAGTAAAAATAATGATCTGTGGTAAAATATTTTTTACTGTTTCATGAAAAAAAAAAAAAAAATCGTTGTGCAAGTCATTAATTCACAGGTTTGTATTTGTATCACTACCGTCAAAATTTGGTAGCAGTTTTGAAATGAAATGGATAAGAAATTATTTTAATAAATTCTTTATTGAAGGTTTTGAGTGTATTTTGCGTTATCGGTGAGTCGAGTTCAAATTCTTGATTAGTGTTGCATTCACTTTTGCACAAATGCTTTTAGGAAAGGCATGTATTCACCTGTTGTTCACTACTAGCTACGGACTAAATAACAAGGTAGACTACTTTCTCGCCTTGGGTGGCAGTTTAAGAGGACTATTCTAAATTCCAAACTGTGCAGAAGGTAACGGGAAACCACTCTACAATTTTGCCGGAAGAAGTCATAGCAATTCATAGATAATAAAGAAAATGAAGCCGTGGAGAGCCGTAATTGTTTACTCTCTGGTGATAAATACAAGTGCTGTCTAGAACATTCATGCAGGTGGGATATTTTCATTTATAAAATAATATAAGTTTAATTAATAAGGTGGAGCAAAATAATTGTGCCGCGGAGAAATTTATTTTAAAAATAAAGGCAGCATGCCGTGGGGAAAAAAATTGAAGGAAATAATTTAATCGCGCCAGCATTTGTATTTAGTACACAAGAATACATCCGAAAGGGACACGGCATAAAAAATAATCATGTATGGGAAAACCAAGATGACGTTGTAATCATTCATTCTGTAAGTTTACTTGCCATTACAAAAATGTTAATTCCTTTATATTTTTAGTTCTTTATTTTTATTAATTTTTTTTCAGTCTTGACTCGCGATTACACGGACACTGCTTAGCATGGTAAAAAGTTATTAAATGTGTGGATGAATGTGAGCAGAGGGATTGTATTGCGCCAATCTTTCAATGTATACGTGGAGGGACCTACCTACTATCCTTAAAAATAAGCATTCGAAATTCTAGCTTTCTATGTGAACTGAAACACCAACTTTTTACACTAGAGAAAAATACGCATCTATTTTACAAGGCAGACCCCACACATGCTTTCCTTTTGATTAAATTATATCAACAGCTCAAGTCATTTTTATGTTAAAAACACAATTTTTTCTTTTCGCGAAAACTGCATCAAAGTGAAAGGAGCGATGCCACTGACAATATTTTAGTCAGTGGTACCTCATCATGGCTTATGAGTTATCAAGCTTGTTTGGCAAACCATTTCTGCTAAATTGAGTTTTATCCTCAGTTGGAGCCACATGTGGTCTTATACTGTATCAAGTCCAAGTTAAGCATAAAAAATCAAACAGAATAAAGACGAATCATTTTCGTCTTATTTTAGAAACAAAACCGTGAATATAACGAATTTGTGGGTTTGGTTTGACGGATACTGAGTAATTTGTATTAATATGGGTGCTTACATTTACTTGACTAATCCCAAAGATATCCTTGTACACTTCTCGTTCACACATCTTTGTCATTTATTTCTGTCCAAAGCAATTCTTTCAAGTATTAGAAATGACATTCCGCTGTGCTCTCTGATTTGGTCTTTGCATCTCTTAGGCGGTCTATCACATGTCCTTTTGCAAGGGAAGTTCTTTGTAGGATTGATACACAATACTTCGTTCTCCTCTTCTAATTACATGGCCAAACCAGTTTCACCTCCTTTTAATCAGGGTAATTATATCAATCTTCACATTTAGTTTTTTTTTTTCTTATTGCAGACATTCTGATTCTGTCTTTAATATTTTCCCCAGCCATGGCAATTATTTTCGAAGACTGAGTCTTGATTGCACTTTTCCCTCAGTTTTTAGGTTTGGAATGTCATTTCTATCCCAGATCTTTTCTTCCGGTCTTCCAAAAGCAGTTAAGGTAAGTACTATTATTGGCTTTATTCGGCTATATCACAAGATATAGCTGATCCTAGAAATACGAAGTTTTCAACATTTTTAACACCTACACTATCATGTTTTCATTTTCATTTCTCATTATTTTTCATCATTTCACCCAAAGCAAGACAATAAAGTCACTAAGACGCAAGGATTTACTGAGGGTGAAAGAATAAAAAAGATAGAACAATAAAAACAAATTAAGACAGAAGAATTGGAATTGTTTTTTAATTTTTGAAGATTAAAGTTGACTGGGAAGCAAGCAGTCTGAAGAGTCCCACAAACGAGAAGTGCGATAGAAGAAACTTACTATTACATCTAGCCATTTCAACTATAAAATGATGAGACCTTGCCGCCAATCTTGTACTGCGCTTAAATTCATAATGTCTAGCTACTATGGAGAAAAGTTCATCAGATCAGTTACCATAAAAGTATTTATAGAAAAGGCACAGTGACGCTACGTTATGGTGGTGAGAAAGTGTCTGAAGCCGAGATGCTAAACCAGGACCAATAACATTGCAGATTCTTTGTATTTTATCAAGAATCTTTAAATACATGAAAAAGCACCAGACCAGATGTGTCAGCAATATTTAAAGCATGGACGAATGGTATACCTATAAATTCCTAAGATCGATTCCGGTGAGAAAAAAAAATTGTCTAGTACAAGGTGAACCTATTTCCCTAGCACCAGACCTCGCAATTGATTCAATATAATCTTTCCACGTCATGTCAGTGGAAAACGTTAGCCCGAGAAGATGCAATAAGTCACTCTGTTGGAGGTTAGCATCAGCCATGCTGATGGAAAGCAAAACGGTTTCTCTTAGAAGATTAGAAGAGCAGTTTCGTTTTGGAGGCGTTAAAATTTTAATTTAAATACTTAGCATTTGTTTACTTTCAGTCCCCATTTCTTGCAATCATTTTACAGTTCTTTTGTAGAAAGTGTCAGTTTAGAAAATATTTGTGAAATCGGTGCGCTTTCAATATAATCAATCGTCAATCCCATGACGATGTAGCAGTAATTAAATCTTAAACTCTGTTAATAATTGGTGAGATATGAAGAAAAACTGTTACACAATGAATGATCTTTAAGTATGAAAACGTAAATAATTGAAAACATGGTATTTACTAAGCTTTAAATTAATGACTGGAAATGATGGGT